AATCAGCATCACCCTGTGAGAGCATTTAAAGGCTGGGAGCTCAAATGTGTGTCTTTGTGTTCCCGTGGTGAAAACCTTTATTAACGTTGCTGGAGCCAAGATGTTGATTGCTTTTTAGGAAATCAGACAAATCTGAAAATTGACTCGAAATCAACTGGAAGCCGAGATTAGGGGTTTGTAGGGGAGGTGAATGCAATCCAATTTTCTTTAAAAGGCTGTAGGTAAAGAATTTTCTGGGTATAGAAAAAACACAAAGAGTTTGACAGTGTCTGATTTCAAAGATAAACCTACAGTAAGATTATAAATGAGTTAGTTTCCTTAACTAAATATCCCTCAGTTGATAAAAACTAGAAAATGCAGCTCCATTTGGGCTTGAATATAAAAATGACTCACAAGCATCTGATCCATCTTTCCAGGATTTGACTGGATTTCAAATGTTCTTTGGCAGACCAATTATAAACTTTTTTGGATAAAACTTAAAGACAAACTCAATGCATTATTCAATAGCTGCAGCAAAAATATGTTTATTTGGTCTTGATGTCTATCCATGAAAAACATTTGATTTATCGAGTCATTCTACAGAAAAGGTGGAATCTGGGTGATACAAATCTGCTGAAATATATTCCTTCTAAACACATCTAAAACCTGTTAAATAGCAATAACTAACTCTTAACTTGATGAATCCACAACAAGTAGAGCTTAAAGTATTTTTATTATTTTTATTATTTTTATACATTATGCAAAGCTTATTTGTATAGGAACGTCACTGGTGTTACGTGTTACCAGGAAGGAACACCAGTGACGGTAACACCAGTGACAATTTGGAAAAAACACTACCATTTTAACAAAATGGCTGCAATGTGTCAGACCAAATATGGCTTCAGTCAATATCAAAATCGTTTAACTCTTCAATACAATACATTTTCCCATTCAAATGTTCACCCCTAGGGCTATGCAATGAGTAACACTAATGACAGACTTGAAAGACGCACTACAATTTGAAGATAAAATGACACCTTTAACAAACAAAGTAAGAAGTATCTGACTTTCCTTATGTCTTTGTCCACTGCACTGCCTCAAATGATCTCTTGTTACAGGAGGCACTTCAGAGACAGTACATTATTTCAAATAAAAGCGTTTTGTGTAGCAGTAACACCAATGACGTAATTTTGGGTGACTGACATTTATTTGATATTATTAATAATAATTTGCGTTTTTTTTTACCATTTCAGTGTTATATTTAATGCTTGTAATGTTATGTAAATATAAATTAGATTTATTCATTGAAAAAAAAATCTTTTAAATTAAAACTATAGCTTCCACTTCCATGTATGATCAAAGTGACAAGGCAGTTCCTTGAACTTGGCATTTTAAATAAATTGCAATTTATGTATAAAACCATTTTTTATTTATTTTTTATTTAGTACCATCGCAAAGACAATCTATATTTATTCAACATAATGAATGTGAGTATTAGGTCAACGTCAAGGTGGACCTCATTTAAGTGTTCGATGGGACTCATATGTTTCGGTAATTTTGATCGACGTGGAAAGGTGGTCGAACTATTGTGAAATTACTAGTTAGTAAATATTTTGTATAGAAGTTATATAATAAAAGGATTTACCCTGGTTAGACGTGTTACTGATGAAAATGAAAAACCATGAAGTTTGATATAAAACTACGACTATGAAAACCAGCCCTCTTCGCCCCATAACACTCTAGTAGCCCATTGACACTCTGTGGGGCGACATAGATCCGTTGCCTTGTGTTAACACAGTAACACTGGTAATACAATAAGTTGGGAGGCGTAAGGGTGGGAACGGTCCTTCCACTTCAATACACGACCACACACCATATCATACAAAAAAAGTGTTTTTTACAAAGTACATTTTTTCATTTTACAAGAACGGTACTTGAAATTAGTTGATAACACAGGTTTCGTTTAACTAAGTCCACTTTTTGAACATAAAGTATGTACAACTACTTGAAGCGTTGTATATTTTGGGTACACTAACTACGATCAACTTCTAATGGACTTAACGATCTCTACAACAAAAAGATTTTTACCACCTACACCCCAATGTTCACTCTGTGGCAATTCGGGAAATCAACTGAATTTCGTAGTGTAAAATTAAATCACATTATAATACGTAATGTATACCAAAAATAAAAATTACAGTAGTGTAACATCTTTTCGGGTAGTACCGGTTCTTTTGATGTGTACTTTCTGTTGCGACCCCGGCGTTTTGTGGGGTTAGCGTTACTCTATTTCTCAGCGTCCTGCGACTCCAGTACGTTCCTTTTCTTCACGGAATTCGTTTTCCGACCTTCCCTGATCTTTATAACTGGGTTCTGTTGGGAATGTTTTCTAGTATTTCTTTTTTCTCTTTCCCCGCCTTATTTTAGTCCCAAGATCAATTTTCACTTGGGTGGACGCATCATCGGCCTTTAGTGCGTCTTCATAGAACGATTTGCTTTTAGGACGAATTCATCATATGTGTGGGGGGCCCCAGTAAGATGTCTTTTCCACCTTCATGACAGTCGAAATGAAAACGTCTGTGCGTTTTTTATGTACTGCAACTAGATGTTTATCGACGTGGTAAGTTATTTTTTTTNCTACAAACATTGTGGAGAAATTAGCTTAAACATGTTTTATTACTCTACACCAAATGGAAGCAGCTTTTATGACAGGGACGAGAGAGCTGGGGGAGGGGACATTCTTCCTAAGAGCATGTCAATTATCAGGGAAATCTACTTGTTTTCAATAGACGTGTGTGGTTGGTTACTTTGTATTAATAATAACAGTATGTGTAAAGGAAGCTGGAAATATACAATGTGAAACCTTTTATTTGAAGTAAAGATGTGAACAATAGCTCAAACAAATGGAAGGGCTGTAGGACAAATGAGTGTGTTCTCTATATTAGGCCTGTGTGAAGTTTGACTATTTGAAAAGCATCTCTAATACTGCTTAAGAGCATAGGTAATGTGTTCTTCGTTATTATTGATATGAAAGTGATTTACATGTATTACGTATAGTTAGCCAACTATAACAACTATATCTTAAAACATACTTTTAACTTGTGTGTGGTAGCCTGAGGGGGGAAGATGGACTCAGGGACAAAGGGCCATAAAAGGGGATGTGTGTGTGCTGGCTGCAAGATGGGAAATAAGATGAGGAAACTTGTTGTTTAGAGCAAGTTCGTACCAGACACCAAGAGGTGTCTGGTTTTCGTCAAACTAAAAGAGACTTTTGGTTTCCGGGTTTCTTCTGCTGTATCACACTGATTGGGGGCGACCAGGCCATGTGATGGTCTCTCCCAATAAGATGACCTCTGGGGGAAAGCACGCACACACCTCCTCCTGTGTTTTAGTATGAAAGCCTGTGTTTTCCTTGGGTTGGCGCTCTTGTTTTTGACTTGCCGTTCCTGAGACCTGTCTCACACGTGGTAGAACCTGAGCCCGGAGTACTCTGCAGAGTACTTCGTGATTCCTTTGTATTTGTATTGTTACTTTGTATAATTAAAACAAGAGCAACAGCGTGCAATATAGCATGACAGCGCGCGCACGGGACAGAGGAGATGAGATGTGGCNTGGTCTCTCCCAATAAGATGACCTCTGGGGGAAAGCACGCACACACCTCCTCCTGTGTTTTAGTATGAAAGCCTGTGTTTTCCTTGGGTTGGCGCTCTTGTTTTTGACTTGCCGTTCCTGAGACCTGTCTCACACGGGGTTAGAATCTGAGCCCGGAGTACTCTGCAGAGTGCTTCGTGATTAGGAGATTGGGTGATGTATTTGTATGTTTTACCATTAAAGCAGATTATTGTTTAACTTGTATTCTGGTGTTTCTTAATCCCTTCCTTTGTACGAATTTACCCAGCTTATCAAACGACACGCGGAGACGAGGTTGGTTTTAAACATCCTCCAAATCTCCAACAGGAGTCCTCTGCACATTTGAAGGTAAAAATATATATAATTAAAATGGGCCCACTTTGAAATAAATAAAACATATAGCTGCACCCTAAAAAGAGTTAAAGGTAGAGTAGGTAAGAATGGAGAAACCAGCTCGAGTGCGCTAGAATTTGAAAATACACAACGGGAAAAAATATGCCTCTTCCTTCACACTGTCTTACAGAGCCCCTCCTCCAACACACACAAACGCGCATGACCAATGAGGCCACGAGATAAGTTTGTGCACAGATGGAAGGCTGACAGGCAGGTAGGCCATCCAGTTATTTTAGCCGGGCCGGCTAAAATGATTGGTCGTGCTTTTTACAGCGCTACGGCTTCCAGAGATACATTTTTGTAAGTATTTATTGTCAAAGCATTTAATATATTCATTGCTATCGGGACATTAAGAGCATTCCATGGTAAATAACAAAAAATGTTTTCTGAAATAAATTACATACTCCATTGAATTATGACTGAAGATTGTCAGCTGTCTTCCTCTCCCGTGTTGTTCCTCGATACGTAAAGGCTGCAGCAGCACCGTTGATAACTTCTCTCTAAATATCAAACATACCGGTAAACCAGCATCGTTTGCTGTGAAACAGAACTCTGTCCACGCAGAATTAAATCCTGTGTTCCTCCAATACTTTTCTTTGATTTATCCATAGTTCGCTCATCGAGCCGGGGGTCAAGTTATTCGCCTCCAAGAAAAGGCGCTCGCGCGGGACCGTAGCAGGATGTGACGCATATTTTAGTTGACCTAATTAAAACCGTTTGGTTTTTTATTTATGTGTCACAGTATCACCTCAAAATACAAGATACGAAACATTTTCAACCATGCAACAAAATATAAATAGTCCTGCAAATACTTTTATTTTATTTCCTTCTTACTTTTGTCTAAGCTCAAGGGAGCCAGAGTGGAGGGCTTAAAGAGCCGCATGCGGTTTCAAGAGCCGCGGGTTGCCGACTCCTGCACTAGCATAAAATGGAAACACTTGAGTAAAAAAGTACTTCAAACTGTTGAAAGTATGAAACTCTGGATAAAACTGAAGAGCATGTCGTTAGACCATACAGTGCAGGTAAAGGTATCTGCTGTCATCGTGATGTCCATTTCCCTTTTCTTGTTCTGTAGGGTTTAGATGGCCCTACGGGTGAAAAGGGGTCAAGAGGGGCCCTTGGCCCCATTGGATTACCTGGCTCAATGGCACGCAGTGGGCCCTCAGCCTGCATCTTGCTGGATGCAGAGTCTGACCTGGCAAGGGGGGAACCGTTTAAATGTTTCATATTCACCCCGTTGCTGCTGAGTGTTCACGTATTGTTTATCTGACCAGGGAATATATGAGCAGAGTGATGACTGCTGTGTCTCTCACCACACAGGGTCCTAAAGGAGAGCCTGGAGAAGGAGCCAGGTCAGAGATGGTAAGGGTCAGTCATTCACTCAGGTGTGATTAGTGCTCCTCATGGTGAATTTCAACACTAAATGTTGCTTGTATGTATGTCTGTAGATGTATTGTCCTCCAGGGCCCGCCGGACCCCCAGGACCAGTGGGGCCAGCCGTGAGTCAAACATGTCATTCCCTCCTGAAACTTAACTGCAAAAAAAACAATGAAATAAAATAGGATAATTCAATAGAAATAGTGTGCACAGACACTGGCTGAGAAACAGACTGTCAGTAATGCTGCTGCCTTTGTTCCATCCAGGGAACTCAAGGATTCTCAGGGCCTAAGGTGAGATGTTGTTCCTATAAACTCATATGTAACAGCTGCTCATTATATTCAATCTGCCTCCATTTACATCGTACCGTAGCCATTCAGAGCATGGGAGAGTAATGATGGGACTGTACCATGTGCTTTCTCTCAGGGGGAGCTAGGCATAGGCATCAGAGGAGAAAAGGGAGCGACGGGTCTCAAGGGCGACAAGGGGGACAGAGGCCATCTCGGACTTCCTGTAAGTACCCTGTACTTCCTGTCTGTTCATAAGTCTCGGAAATCCTTGACTTCCATTTTTTACATGTTATATAAAACGTTTTTTAAACATTTGAATGCAATGTTGAGTATTTTAGAGATGATATCACTGCATCAGTACAGACATGTGAGCATTACTCAGTGTTAACCTTACAAAGCCTTACGTTTTTAACCGTAGTTTATGCATTTGTTACTGACCAGATTCATGTCTCAGATGTCTGCTTCTATGTCGTCTTAACCCTGTTCAAATGTTGCATGGTGGTGCAGATTGTTTCCAAAATAAGTACATCATCAACATAAAACTCCATACCTCTATGTTATTGCTTTTATTTTACTACTTTATTCAAAATTATTTTAAAATACTTTTTCTTTTACACTCTTTAAAATGGTGTCTATCACTTTGGGTTTCTATTCTTATTCTTTGTTTACACTCACATTCAGGAATCCTTTGTGTAGACTGCATACTGTCTGTATTGTCCATGACCACATCTGCAGGTTTTTCACTCGGAGGGACCAAATATGAATGATGTGGTTGTGATAGCAATAAGTGTCACATCATTGAACAGAAAAATACAACAAAAAGCAAAGAACACAATAGATTTTCGGTGGGGGGGGACTAAAACCTAACCCACACAATGCAGAGTTTCCTCCTGTCTGAGTATCATTAGGGACTAGCTGAAATGACTAGCCAACAGATGCGGAGAAAGTAGTCATATCCTTTACTTAAGTAAAAGTTCTAATAACACGCTTTAAATAATACTCCATTACAGTTATAAATGTTACTTAAGTAAAAGTACTTGCATTTTTTAACATAATCGTACTCAAGTATCAAAAGTAGAAGTACTGTTTGTGCAGGGTGTGTTTTTATTATTATAGAATATTTTGTTATTCTGTTATTATTATTAGAAAATGTTAGAGTTTTATAATGCTGTCATCATGGGGCAAATGTTGGATACTATGTGTACTACTGAGTAGATTAGTTTTATATATACCATATAAACACAAGTTGTTATTCATGTACCTAGTAACTAAATAAATCAACTCAATAAATGTAGTAGGGTATAAAGTACAATAATTCCTTTTGACAACTTATGGAACTGAAATATAAAGTAGCATAAAATGGAAATATTCAAGTAAAGTACAAGTTGCCCAAAACTATATTTAAGCAGTACTTGAATAAATATACTTAGTTACAGTGCATTCCACTACTACTACTAGCTAATTAGCAGAAACTTGCTATAGGACATGAAACCATTGTGAGGTGTTTCAGTAGGAACCTATGGGCCGCAGATCCAACATCATCCGTGCTCTGAACAAAGTGAAACTTCAATTACATGTATTATGTCAACAGATTTCCAATACCTGTATTAGGTCAGTTGGAGGCAATAACTTTAAGTTGAACCTAATATTTTTAATTTTAACTTAATATTGCTGCTTAACCTAATACAGTTATGTGAAATCTTTTGACATAATACATTTAATTAAAGTCAACGTTTGACTTTTGTCAGTGCGGAAGAAATGACTCACATTACTGTTACTCACTTCACCTTCACCCCCACCACCACAACCTCCACCACCCTTCATTTGTCATCATCTGAATGTGTTTTTGATGTCACCTGAGTCACAGCTTCACTCAACTTCCCATCCCCACCCCCCCACCTTCCTCCCACCATCTCCCCCATCACCTCTGCTCTCTAACTGTGTACGGCGCTATACAGGGGGCTCATGGGTTAGATGGCAGACCTGGTCCAGTGGTGAGTGGCGCAAGTCCGGTTCCGGCCCCCCACCCTTCCTCCTTCTCTTCCTCCTCCACCCCCTGCTACAGCTTGCTTGTGTCTGCCATGTCTGCTCGTTTGTCCGCTCGCTCTCCTGCTTCCCATGCCTGTCTCGTCTCTTTTCCTTCCTGAAGTTTCTCTGAAGGCGGGCTGTTCAAGGGGGGTTCTGAGGATGCACTGGCATGAGACTGTTTGTTCAGAGAACCAAGGCAACTCCAAACTGCAACTCTTCCCACGCAGATGTTCCACACTAAAGCCTTCCAGTGGTTCAATGAGCATGATGCCACCCTCACTATCTGAATCAGAATCAGAAATCCTTTATTCATCCGACAGTGGAAGAATGTACATTAGCCCATAAGGTAGGCTGCGAAGAAATGTGCACATAAATCTGATCGGGTAGCTTCTACAGAGGTGGAAGGAGTATCCAGATGCTTTACTTACTTTACCAATACATTATGTGACATTTCTAGAAAATGTTGTTGCATCAAGTAGACACAGTTCTGATTTAATTCTTGTAAAATATTTAAATTATTTGAATCTTTTGTGACTTTAAGAGTTATTCCACTAGTTTAATTTTAGAGATGCAAATGTTAAAAGTAGTTAAAGCTGTATTCGAGTAAAATAACCTTATTTCCCTTTTAATTGTAGTGGAGTAGAAGTATAAAGTAGCATAACATGGAAATACTCAAGTAAAGTACAAGTACCTCAAAATTCTACTGAATTGCAGTACTCACTTAAATCTATTCAGTTACTTCCCTCCTCTGATCTTTTATTTCAAGTTTTAAATACTAACTTTTAAAGAAAATGCTTTTTATGAATACAGTAAGACAGAAATATGACTGAACTAGTGATTTTTTTTTAATTAGAGTGCTACGGGAAAATCCCTATAATCAGTAGGTATCTTCCACCAGTGATTTTGTGTTGTCTGATACCGGACATCATGTCAGTGTACCCTCAGTCCTCAGTCCGGCCTCAGATCCTGTTTCAGCTGGGCTGCACACTGCCATTAAGAACCGATCCAGAAGGAGCATGCAGAGATGCTGCATGTTGACATGTCTTCAGTGAATCTGGACAGCTGTACTCAGTATACGTGGATATGCCTGAGATGCAGGGTCTTCCTCTCCCAGCCTGACGCTGCTTCGGCAGCTGCAGCTGTTCACATTTCATTCATTTGGCCTGATTGTAACAGCAGTTTGGTCAGTACTTCAACAAGCTTGTTGTGTAAATGCTACAGGTGTCAGGACAGAAAAGTGTCCTAACCTTTTTTGAAAAAAGCATTCATCCAAATGGTCCCTCTTTTAATTTACACCAAAAGCTTGTTGATTTACTGACATGAGGCATTTAGTGATGATTTTTTCCTGGTACTATTATATGTGTTTCTGCTAACATGTATATATTTCCCATGTTCTGTTTTAAAGGGTCTAATAGGACCAGCAGGTGTTTCAGGACCCGCAGGACCAAAGGGAGAGAGAGTGAGTATCTTTGGTGTGTTTCTCACATGAATATATTTAAAAAATAAATACAGTTATAGGAAATGATATGCTTTGGTTTTGTTCTCATCACTTCAGGCTGAAAAGGGAGATGCAGGATTACCAGGACCAATCGGGCCTCAAGGCATCCCTGTAAGTCTGAAATTACTTTTAAAAAGTTTATCACAGCGGCGAGCATCTCTTTGCTCATTGGAAGCACCTTGCTCAAACCATCAACCCAAAACAACCAGCCAAAAACATTCACCTACTGGAGACCATGACAACAGCGAGAGAGCTCTAACACTTTAAAATTCACTTTGAGATAAGATAAGATAAGATGGTACTTTATTGATCCCAATTGCGGGATATATTTGTTTTCCTTTCATGTCTTACATCACATTTTTCTTTAAACAATAAATATACTGGGAATGCTTGCACATAGAGGCAAACATATGGTGGGAGGCTAAGCAGGGTGAAACCTTATCCTGCTTGCACTCAGACATCTTGTGGTAGCACTGCAGTCAGACATCTTGTGTTAACACTGCAGTCAGACATTACATTACATTGCATTTAGCTGACGCTTTTATCCAAAGCGACTTACAATAAGTGCGTTCGACCAACAAAATACAAACTTGAAGAAAACAGAATCATATAAGTACATCAGGTTTCATAGAGCTAAAACATTTCAAGTGCTACTCAACCAGCTTTAGATAAGCCAGTCCTTTATTAGTATATAAGTGCTTTGTTAATAGTTCTATCGCTCGAAGTGGAGTCGAAAGAGATGAGTTTTCAGTCTCCCCCGGAAGATGTGTAAGCTTTCTGCTGTCCTGATTTCAACGGGGAGCACATTCCACCATTTTGGAGCCAGGATAGCAAACCCACGTGTTTTTGCTGATGGGAACTTTGGTCCCCCTCGCAGTGCGGGTGCAGCGAGCTGTTTGGCTGATGCAGAGCGGAGTGCACGTGCTGGGGTGTACGGTTTAACCATGTCCTGGATGTAGGAAGGGCCAGATCGCAGCATGGTACGCAAGTACCAGTGTCTTGAAGTGGATTCTAGCAATTACTGGAAGCCAGTGAAGGGAGCGGAGGAGCGGCGTGGTGTGGGAACATTTAGGAAGGTTGAAGACCAGACCGACCCCGCTGCGATTCTGGATGAGCGCAGAGGTCGGATGGCACATGCAGGCAGACCACAGGGGGGAAGTTGGCCAGTATCCTAGGCGTTGGAGAGTGACGAGAATGGGCCCAGAACCCTAGCGTTGCTTTCTGCGAGTCGGTAGGGAGTCTATCCGTCTCCTTCCTGAAAAATGTTTGTTGTTAAGTGTGTATTCTGGCAGCCCAGCGGGTTGTAGCAAGCGATGTTGTTGCAAGTGAGGAACAATTTGGTTTATCCTAGGTCCACCCACATTCCCATGCAGTCTGGATGCTCGGGCGAAACAACATTCTTGGTGCTAGCCACTGCAGTCCAGACATTCGTGTGTTAGCCACTGCAGTCAGAACTCTTTGTGGTACCACTGTGCAGTCAGAGCGGACGATCTTGGTGTAGCACTGGCAGTCTTGTGGTTTAAGCACTTGCAGTCCTTGTGGTTAGCACTGCAGTCCAGACATTGTTGTGATAGCACGTTGCAATCAGACATCTGTAGCAGTCAAGATTATCTTGTTTGCTGTTGCCACAGTTTTCCTGGCTCGCTCAGCCCCTCTCAACGTAGTCACAGGTTGTGCATTCTCTGCAATCTGAAAATTCTGCTCCCAGATTTCCTCCTCTGCTCATCGCAGAAGTCAGTGGGTAATAAGTAATTCCGCCTAGACCCTTGCAAAAATCTCAACAATATAGAATGCAAGTTTAAAGTCTGTGGACCGATTAAGGATTCCCCGCTGCTCTTTTTTGCCCACCGTTTGTAAAAGAAAATGACGTAGTGGCAGTTGGTTAAGAATAATCCGTTATAATAATCCATTGAACCTAAAAGCACCTTGGAAAGGAGGAGGTGGGTAAAATGATACCTGGGGGAGGGTAACATGGGTCATGTAATGTTTGATATTACAATGAACTCATGTTTGTGGTGCATTTAAATTGACTTTTTTCGGGTAGAGGGTAATTTATCCTTATTTAACTTTAAACCAAAACAGTGTTTATAAATCCTCCTTGGTGGGCAGTTTGAATATGTCAGAACTGATCTGGCCCTGCACGGTGCTTTATATCGCTGCTCAGCGGCCAAAGAGTCCACCAAGTTATTGTTCCTTGTGGTCCCATGGTTTCCACATTGATTACTCGGCAAAAAAAATGGCAAAGCAAGCATGATCTTTCCCAATACTGTGGCAATCCCACTTCACAGCACCACTAAAGTCAGTCTCCAATTTTTATTGTTTGCCAGGGTATGTAGGGTACAAGAGGACCCAAAGGGAAGAACCGGTAATTGATACCCATTATATGTTGCTGTTAAGTAAAGATTAGTGATTACTTTATATAAGATTGAATCTTCTGTTGGGGAAATACATACAATACATCCCTTCATTGCTTTGTATTCAAATGCTTAGTTTACTTTTATTTAATTTATTCCAGCGAATGAATAAAATCCTTGAATTTGCCATTCATATTATAAGACAGAGCAGTCTGTATTTGTCCCCCTCCCAAGCATAAACCGATGCAGTTGTTGGAAGCGGGTTCCAGTGAGAGGTCCAGCTGGGACTCACAGGTTATTTTGGCGGACTTCAAAGTCTTGTAAGTGAATTACCAAGCTAATAATGAAAGTCAATTGGATATTCCATCTTTGAGTATCCAGTCAATTATGAACAAGAAAGCCACCTGAGTGATCGTGTTGCTTTGGATTGTTTCCCTATTGATCCTGAATCATTCATTGTCACAAATAATGTGTTTGCCTTTCTGAGGCAAAAGTCTGTGTATGCAGTGGCTTCCAATGTGATATAGCACTATTTACACATTAAATGGAGTAATTGAAATTATATTATTGTTTGTAAAAATGACTATTTCTTTTGTTAATCAACTTAAAAATCGTATACTATACGGCTGATTTGGATTAATTAAAATATATATTACATCGAATCAAAGTGGCCCTTAGAACAGTTTGGTTTACCTTTCACATTTATATTCCTGTTATTGTGTTCGGATTGACAGTTTAACAGATGTCCCGTCCTGGAGTTCAAATTGGAATAAGATGCGCTATTACAGTAGGTTCCAATGACAACGTGTTCGTTAAAACATTTGTAAACCAATTGGGGAGTCATGTTAGCATTTTTGGATGCAGCCGTCCCACTATTGTCGTTCTGGTGGAACGTCCTATGTTAAAAAACAAAATTCCCTACCTAGTCAATTACCAGATGGTCCCAAGTGGCAGATACAAACCTGCGCAAGACTTTCAGGACCATCAAGTTTCCCCACTGTATCTTAGTTCTAGTCATTGTCAAACAAATATCCCTAAAGGTAAGTGGCTTGTGGGCATTCAGTATTGATGAAAGGTTGGAAAGGTTTTGCGTCTCACAGAGAATTACCATTTCCCAGGTTTTTTTAATACGTTTTTTATTGAATTTCAGCTGCATGTTTGCTCTTCACGTCCCAGCCCTCCCTAAAGTAACCAATCCATTCTGGAGGGCAGCCCTTGTGAATAGACCCTGTTACGGAACAGTAAAGCATATTGTATACAATCTCTTACTCTTTCTAAAATAAGAAGCAATAAGCTATATTTCCNGTTTTTTTAAAGGGGGCGGGGTTACTAGGTTTATCTGCGAAATAATCACCAGGATAATGATTGACTGTATTGTCAGACCTAATGTCAATAATCTGCATTGTAAACATGACAAAAGGTGGCGCCATATTCATGTCAGTGAATGTATTTTGAATGTAGCCTCCAGCATCCAACTGCGTTTTCGCGTTTGGCTCATTTTCCATCCGAAAAACACGTTGTCTACCTGTCCTGTACCACTTGTTATGACTTCTCTCTCTCGGTATTCCGTTAAGACCCACCCCATCTCACTCCTCGTGCTGAAACCTGGTGTTCACTCTCTGTCCTAAACGGATTGTTGGAGCTCGCCCCCCCTGTGAGCCCAGTGTGCTCTGATTGGTCAAGCGACGTGCAACTGCTCGCGAGGAGCTGCTGTGAGGAGCAGACAGGGTTTCCGTGTCGAAGATAGATACAGTCAGAGTAGGGGCGGGTCTTCACAGAATACGTTTTGGGGAACAAAATCAAGCTTTTTAAAAGGCTAGTGGATTTTGGCAGGCAGTGAGTGCGGACAAACGATTGAACGATAACAAGAACGGCTCTCACCAAGTACGACTCGGTTCCCCTCGTTCATATCAAAGAGCCGTTCAAAAGAATCGGCTCGTTCGCGACCGACACATCACTAAAAAACAGTATACCGTACATACTTGAACAAGAAAGCAGCGGAGAAGTAACGGTGCAGAAGCCCTCCTTTTTGACGCAGCGGTCCAGACATAGACATCAGACGGCAAAACATATTCAGTGTGCAGTTCCTTTGGCATTAGGGCAGGGATATCTAGATACTTTTGAA